GATATCTGCAAGCGGTTAGACATTCTAGTGTTCTCGGATGAGTACGAAAATCCGTAGGCTCCGTCTCCTGCATCTTCTCGGTACTAGTTAGTGGGGGACGTTAAAGAACCCACACACTCATCGCAAAGTGTGGGGAACGTGTTGGTGTTGTGGTCTGCCCTAGAAGAACCTTTACGAACCTGACCGAATCCGAGCATATAAGCCTTGTAGAGAGGGAATGTTCGTAATATGATAAATATGGTAATATATGGTAAATATTAGTGTTTGGGTAGTGTAACTTTTGTTGAACATACTTTCCTACAAGCATACTACACACATTTTATTTGTTTTGTAGTGTGTATGTGTATCAATTGTGTGTTATATTTTTGTTGATTTTTTCCTGAATCTAATTTTCTCATATCTAATGAGAAAATAATGATAATAATGATTATTATCATTATTTGTTTTGCTTTATTTATCCTACACACTGCTTTGATATTTTTTATAAATCTTTTTATCAATCAAGGAATGGTGTTACGAGTAAATCTATCTCTTGTCCTTTTTCCCCTTTATATATTCCTTCTGTAAATGTGTTCCTCTTGTATGCTTACATGACGGTGAAATAAATCAATAAATCAATCGCGTGTCAAAGATTACATAGTAATTTTTTTTTCGATTCTAGTCCTTAATCACGTTTAGCAATCAGTTCAAATCTCTTAGATATTGCTAGAGCTCAATTTTGGTTTGGTTACTTTGCTTGTCCATACTCTTAACCAGCAATTTATTCTTTGCTAATGATGTCATAAACATATGAACTGAGAAAACAAAAGTTTTTCGTCCCCTGAAGCTTTACAACTATCATATAAGCCTTCTTTGAGCGCAAAAGAAAAAAAAATTGTGAGGCTCTTCAAGTGAGTATGAAATTTTATACATACATATATATACTTCCGGCGACAAAGTCTCTGGTGTAAAAAAGATATTCTTCTGTACACAATTAACGCAGGGATAGTAATAGTCAAGTCAACAATTTTGTGTTGCGAATGAGAGAGGCTTTTAGCTAATTATCAACGTGAACTTGATGCAGGTGAAATGAATCGTTGAGGAGAATTTTAAAAATTTAAGTTTCCATTTTCAGCTGTTTGAAAGAGCAAATATACCTTTTTTCCAATCTTTATTTTTTTTTCACTCATAGGGGAAAACTTTCGCATGTGGATGATATCTTTGACTATCATCTCAGGACAGCAGTGTAAATTCATAATTATATGCATGTTGTTTAGTGTCTTTGTTACGACAAAAGTAATAGAGAGAAACACTTTACTTCGCGTAATTTGCATAAGGTGACCTACAATGAATAAAACCTTCTATACCTACCTCAATGCTTTGGTCAAGAAGGCTTTTATTTTATTTCTGGTTCAACCAGCACCTTCGAATCCGCTCCGAAAGTTCTTAATTCAGTCATGGTGAGTTAGGGTCTATTTGTTCATATATTAATTTAGCGATATGGCTTAATTCTCAGCTATCCATGTCTATCACTACCGTCTTCAAGTGCTGTTTGACTTCCCACATTGAAATTATTACCTAGTTGATTGTAGGCGCATTTTATCCGACAGCTTATTCTCAATAAATCATACCTCTTGAACAGAAAGAGCCTTAAAACAGCATCCCCTTTGAAGTAGCTGCCGCCTTCACAGACATGTAGACAACGTTGACTAATAAACTTCTTGAAATAACCCGCTGAATTAAAGCAAATTGAAAACAAATTGTGGCTGTTCCCAGTGCATTTTCTTCAAAAAAATAATTTCCACATTACATAATTAACTTTCAATCAGCTGCTTCGTTGCGATTGGTCCAGAATACAAGAATCACCTGGTGTTTGATAGAGTGCTTTAAAAAAAATTATAAAAATCAACGTAAACAAGTAAAAACTAAACTGAAGTTTAGATGCGGCAAAGAATCATAGTAGAAATTATTTCATTGATTTAAAGAAATTGGCTATATTATTTTAGATTCAGTCTAATTTCGCCTGTCTTATTTCACGGGTCGAATTCGTCGGTAACTAAAGCATTCATCTGTTTTGGAACGATTTGCAAGACAAAAAAACCATATCTAATTTTGAGGTGTTGGAGGAACACGTCCACAATACTTTTACTAGGTAACTACTATAGTTGTTGATTACCTTAACAATGGGTTTGCATCAGACAGACTTAAAGGTGGTACAACATAATAATTTTATATATTGGAAGAAGTAGAATTCGTCGATTTCAGAGCATGAATTATCCAAGATATTCAATGATCGATCACCAACTTCATTCATATTTCGCCTTTCATTAGAAGGTGCAGTAAGTCCGTTTGTGATGAAGAAACAAATCGAATCCCATTACTTATGCTAACATTTTTTATTTGCGATTTTAAACCAGTTTCTCCTTCGTACTCGAAAATGTGAACAATGAGAACATTCGCATACAAATTGAAATTTATGTTTGAATTTAAATCCTCTTCCTAAAAAATATCGACTTATCTGGCTCACTGCAGAGGAAGCAAAAATTTGGCAAAAGTGAAAACAATGCCGTCTCGATTCGTTTCATGATGTCTGAAATACTAATTTGCCTCTTTTTCTAAAGTAGTTCCATATTACCTATTGGCGAGTTAGGCCGCAATTATACACCAGCAAGTTTCTTGTGGCCACGAAAATGGAAAACGTGACAAAATTTTTTGTAATATTTAGGGGTAAAGGAACGTTTGGATCGCACCAAACCATGTGCACGCCCCTCGTTAAATTTCTGAAAACGTGGTTCACGTTGTTTATCGGCATAAGAAAACATCTCTGAGATCTAATAGTATCTAGTGTGCCAGAATGTGCGACTGTGTTCAGAGGTTCCTAAACATCCCAATATGCAATCGTGATTGAACGATTGTCAACAGATAACCAAACTGATGGAACATATTGCAAAGCGGACTTAATGTATGGAAACGTGGAGAACCTTTCCTTTTTCTAAGTTTTTTTTTGGGGGGGAGAAGGTGATAAGTACTATATTTCTTATCTCGGTAAACAATTATCACGGGAACCTTAAATGGTTTGACCTTAAACCTTATACTGAGATTTTTCCGTTGCAAGTGTTGACAAGTTTTCTTTGCCAATGCATGTAACAAGGGATGTTTTCCGTAGCAGATGCTTTCGAAACTTGCATAGGGTTTATCTAACGGGTACTTTTTTAGCCCCTCCTCGTATTCAAGTGAATAAATCTTTCTCCATCGCTCCCTCGCTCTAGACAGTATGGAGGAGTGCACCCAAATTTTGTAATTTGATTACACCTGGCAACAGCTCTAACCTCAGCGATTATCCTAATGGACTTACCAAACCGATCCATTCAAGGAAAGAATTACCTCGTTTACTAAAACCGTTAAGTCAGGTCAGTCAGTTTTACTATTGTATTCATAACAGTGAAGAGGTTTTCTGGCAGACTGACTGACAATTACTGTTTGGCTTGCCAGTTCTGAGTAATGATAAGTATTCTGAGATTATGCAGCTCTCTCAAATCTCGTATTTTGGGGTAATTGCCTAATGAACTCTTATCAACTTACCAGTTTGCAACGTGGTAGCCTCTCCGATGCTCAGGTGAAACTAATGAAGTTTTTAAGTTGAGTACTTCTTAACACCTCTGCACTTTTCAACCGCAGTGAAAACAACTGACCCGATAAGCTTTCCTTTCTTTTTTTAAGTGTCGAATTCAGCACTTGTTTATCCTTGAGTGGCAAAGTACCTGTCTCGAATGTAGCGTGAAGGAAATTTTTTAGGTACAAATTGAATCAAGGACAGACTTGCAGTACTCGCGTGTGGTCTGAAGACACATTTTAGCTGAGTAAACAGGTTAGTCTCCTTGGTAGGGAGTTTAAGAAAACAACTTCGGCAACCGTAACGGCAACGGCAACGTCACTAAAGAAAAAGTAATTTTAGTAACTAAAAAGTAATAAATTATTCTGCATTCTCGGGAAAACAACAACGTAAAATTACTAGGCTTTGCGTTGTTTGGAAAAGGTGAACGACGACGGTCTATTTAACGCTGTGTCCCATATTCATTTCCGAGATAGTTTTGACAGTGAGAAACAAACTAAATGACGAGTATCGCGAGATTCGTAGGTAAAATATAGGTTCATTTATTAACCGACGTCGTCCGACGGCGTTGCCGTCGTCGAAAGGAGGGAAAGCGACGCTCAAAAGAATAAAACAACATGTAAGAGTTGTATTGAGAGTCAATACAAATACGGTGTTTCTGGAAATTTACAGAATGCATAGTCATTGAAAGAGAAAATTGGACAATTCTGATGTGGCCCCGTCTCTATCTTGATTGGCCTTTTTTGGATGCAACCGCGGGCGAAGCTTTCCCTACGACGCACGGTCGGCAAGGAAAGCTCTCCGTAAAAGCTCGATATGCACTGTGAGTGGCGAGCCCGCGGTCTTTGTTTTATGCCGTTTTGTCTTGCGTGTAGGATCTTATTAGATGAGTAACGTGATTGTATGCTTTGCCGGTCATTCAAAACAGAGAGATTCAAATTGAGTCGCGTTGCAAGTGAACAGTGAATTTAACTGGGAAACGGTCAGAGGCGACTGCTCTGCTCTCTGCACTTCACTGGTATACCTTTCTAGATAAATAATTCATCCGCAGAAGCTTTCATTCGACTGGCATCGAATTCTTTAGAGACAGCATAAACGAAATAAAAAAAACACAGGAATTGGTCATTAATAATGCGGAGTACGATTTTATGAACACTTTTCAATGTCTTCTGCGGAGCTATGTTTATCTATAGGGTTACTCCGGCTTAAGCTTCAGACTTTTGACCAAAGTGGTTCACCTTTCCTATAGCTAAATTGATCACTGATGTGCGTCTCTTTTCTAATTTGATGTATGTCGTAAAAGTAAAAGAAAGGGCAAACGAAGCAAAATGGCGTGTAGTTGACTAAGCTTTTTATTCATTAACTTCTTGGATCAATTGATGGACACTTTCAAATAACTAATTTACAATATCCCTTTCCTTTTAAATGCCTCTGGTCTAGACGGGGTATTTGTATACCCTTCTTTAACCCTTTCTTCCCCAGGAGTGACCAGCATCCAAATTCTCCCTACAATATCACTCCTGAATCACACATTGAGATAATGAGAATAAAGGAAATGATCACCAGGGAAGGAACCTTATGATTGGCAAGCAAATTCTCCTTGTCAGCACCTTAGGAAATGTATAAGAAACAGTGTGGAGAATATGCATATTGATGTTAGGATGTGAAGGGTTAAATGCTGTAGCAGCCTCTAGACCACCAAAACAGCACGCATACAGGTCACGTCTTTTTGAGAGAACTGTAAGTATTTCAGAATCTGATTTTGCAAGACTGCATGACGTTTCAAGTTTAATTCCATATCCATGTGTGACGCTTACAACTTTTCCTTGGAGATTCCATTCATCAAAGAAAAATTTTTCGATATTTACTTTAGCAAAGACAACCTATGGACGACGGTGCTCTTCAGCTCCGCTCACTTGTGCGTGATTGATCAGCAGGCCCAACTCATTTTTGCTCTGAGTCTGGTAGTTAATGCGGTCATAAGCTGAAATTCTTAGTTATTTTAATTTAATAAATGGTATAAATCTTAAAATATCGGCGCTTTCCTCTCAATTCTGCACTATAACCTTTTTGTCTTGCATAATAGGAATTGGGAGTGACATTATTACCACACCACATACACAGCACATTCCACCAATTACCTTCCCTAATACTGATACAGGTACAACGTCACCATACCTGCGAAATAAAGTAAAACAAAAGGACAAATAGTTTGTTTGTTTAGCTACAGTAAAGACTGCGTGCGGTGCGTGGCAAAATTGATTGTTGAGCGCTGTTCGACTCGGGGTCGAAAACCAAAATCAATATGACCTCATGGGCCAGTCAGAACAAAGCAAAATGTACAAGCAGTCAATGAAAAGCAAGTTGGAACCCGATTGCTTGATAAGTTTTTGAGGCAGTCACAGAGCGCACTGAAGCAATCCAAGAGAATCGAGGATTAATTTCAAAGTTTGTTTGAATATAGATGGATGGGTTTCCAGTTTTCTGGTTTAAGCGACCTTGGAAGGTTTTTTTTCCCCTTCTTTTTCAAAGAAAATGTACAAAGTTACTTAAGATACAGACAGCGTAATCGAGTGGTGAGACCGTCACGCTCGCAATGCGGAGGTCCTGGGTTCGAATCTTGTTTTGATTGAGGGAAATCATGGCTTCAAATCCTCAACCACGCTTATAAATAGCCAATTAATCTGCTTCCTCACTGCTTATTCTTTCGATTTGGTTTAATTTTTTGAGGTTATTTAAAGAGGGCTTTAGATCTATCTTTGTTTCTGCCACTGTCAAATCTTACCTTCTATAAATAAAACCTACATTAGCATTATTTAAAATACTTAATGGTACTCTATCTCGGTGTTTTTGCTTTTAGTAGATCTGAGAGAGCACCAGTATTAACTGTCGAGAGAAAACTTTCTCACGATAGTTTTCACAGAAAACCTATAATTCATTTGTTGTCGTTTCTTGAATATTCCAGAACTCATTTATTTGTTTTATTTTTCTCCGGAGAAAACAATGAATAACTTTCCTAGCAGACTATTAATTTGTTTTTAAAATTTGGCTACCAGACTGTTTGCCGATCTGTTCTGATGCCCATTAGTCAAAACACGATAATTTCCCTAAGCTTTATGAAGTCTTTTTGGACTTTTTTTTCTCTTTTGACATCATGCTTGAGACAGCTGCCCCAATCACTTTCAGATGGTAACAGGAATTGGTAAACGATCTAAAATTGAAACATCGTCATTTGAAGAAGGAAATATTACTGACACGTGAAAACATTGAATAAATACTAAAATAGAATTAAGAATATGTAAACAGGTAAAATAGCGACCGCCTTTATGTAATTTCCCATTCACGTAAAAAATGGAAGGTGTTCAAAATTTTGGGTTAATTTATGGGTTGTCACGTTGGGATAATATCACTGGCGCCTATGAGTTTTTGGATTCTTAAATGAAAAGAGCAAATATCAAAGCTGCTATCGTAAACGATAAGTATCGACTCAAGTATTAAAAAGCTTTTGAATTAACTTTGTATCTCAGCCAGACGCTTCTAGTTTTGTGTTATTTCAAATATTTTGCTATGGAAATAAAAAATAAAAAAAAGTATTAAAAAGCTTTTGAATTAACTTTGTATCTCAGCCAGACGCTTCTAGTTTTGTGTTATTTCAAATATTTTGCTATGGAAATAAAAAATTTAAAAAAAAACACTTTTTTTTTTGTGAATGGAATGATCGCGTGACATTTATTTTGATCAGTTACTGTCGATAACTCCACCACAAATACGAAATACATCCGAGAAACTGATCATTACGGCAACACACGCAAAACCTGTGTCTGTAATGTTACCTAGCAACCAGTTTTCAACCAAAGCGTAAATGGACATAGATGTAGGTTTTCATTGTGTGGGTCTCTAACCGGGCTTTTTAGTTAAAGTGAATGAGAAGCTATTGGTAAAACTCTTGTTTTGAGCGCAAGAAAAATATCGAATGCCCACTAAAAAACCACATTGTCTATGCCCTTAGGGGATGTAACATTAAGGAATTTTCCTGTTGAGCAAAACAAGATAAACGTTCTTTGACTCAAAACACAATTGCACCACATAGACCGGTAGTTTGCTCGTAATAGGTTTACCCGATCGATGTCTAAAGTAAAACTTGAAAAAACTTAGTACAAAACGTCATGAAATGTTTCGGTTGGTATACTACTAAGACTGTGTTTGCAGCCGATTAAAATTATATCACCTTAGGCCTTGTCAAAGCATCTTGATGAAGTTTTTAGAAGCTCAAATAAAATTGATCAGTCAGCTCCGGGATTCAGCAGTTGTTTTAAACGTTCAATTCAATTTAGTCGTGCTAAACTTAACTTCATATAAAAAGGGCAAAATTTGCAAATAGCTGTAGACACATCCTAGTAATTTGTGGATAGGCTTTAGCCCGACTAGAACAGGTCGTATAACGCAAGTCGAGTCATTGCTCGGCAAGGTCTCCCTGCTAAGTTTTATTTTGCTCCAACGTAGTTCAACTCAAAAACCTGGTGTTATTGCCGCGCTGAGTCGAAAATAACCCAATTTGAATGACTATCAGTTATACCAATAGTAAATATGGATTTGATAGATCTTAGATTAATATATGATGATTTATTCAACTTCAATTAACTGTAATGTTGCCTTACCCGGTAGTCATCATCGTCACGCAAGTGTACCAGAGGGAATGAGGAATACTCCGGAAATCTTCCCCACTTTCCACAAAGTACAACACACTCCCAAACAGCAATATCCCTAGGGTGAACGTGAAGTACAAAAACAGCAGATCTGTTGAGCAGTTTCTTAGGGTATAGAGCAAAGACTTCAATCTCGTAGAGCCTCTGGTTAATTTCATTATCCGCGCGACACGTAGAACACGTAGGGTTATTAAAAGCGTAACGCTGTCGGTAGTTACGAACTGCGTCGCAATGAGCGATATATAGTAGGGCAATATTGCAAGTAAATCTATCACATTGAAGAAATCTTTCATGAATGCACAGCGTTTCTTTGACCAAGCGAATCGTATGAGGAATTCTACGGTGAATACAGCCACAAAGGTGGCGTCAAAGGCGAAGAACAAGTCGGGATAGAGCTCTAAACATTTCACGCCATCCTCGCAGTCAATTGTCTCCACCGTTGTGGTAGCCACGCTTAGAACTATGAACAACCCATACAAAAAATAAAATAATCGTTGTGCTATTTTGGACTTATGTGGTTGGCATCTGCAATTTATTTCACACTTGCGTGTACTCGAGCACTTTTCTGTTGAGTTTTCACTCTCTTCAGAGTGTTTCGCCCGTATAAATTCAGCTCTCTTATCCGAATTTTGTCGTGTGTTGCCGCATCGTTTCTCTGTCATTGGTACATGATTTGGGCTTCTACTAGGTTGTGTAAAGTTTTTTGACCTCGTCGCGCGAATCTTCTTTCTTTTAATAATCCCTTGTTTATTTTCTCGTTTATTCCAATCGAGGTAATTACCAGAATGTACCGCCTTCATGCTAGCTTTCCTCACGGCGTAGTGACACGGGTGTTTTTCTTTCTCATCAGTGTTTGTTGTGTACCAGCAACAGTCCTCGAGTTCACAAATAGGAATCCCGAAAAAGTCGAGCTCGTCCTTAAAAGCAACGGGACAATCGTCGGGCGATGAGTGAAGCTTCCCGCGTTGGTAAAAATTCAATATGTATCGAAACAAATGTGGGTCTCTATCGAAGAAATATTCCTTCTTAATAGGATCAAAAAACCTGGTTAACATCTCGCTTCCGAGAAGAGTATGTGGATGTCTTTGTAAACACTTCCTTTCTGTCGTATACCGTTGTCCGCTTACGTTTAATACAATACGATGCTTTTTGTGTAATTCGTTGTTGAAGTGAACACGCCTCGCCATGTATAGTTCACTAAATATCTCCTTCCGAAGAGCAGGCCGTCTTAGACTCCATGCTAAATTTTTATGTTTCTTTCATTGAACTTGAAATTCTGCGACGCGATCAGTGGCTGCAAACCATGAACAAACGAATTATCCGATGTCTCGACTTTACCAAACGGTTCCCTGCAACTTGTTGTTTAAAACAATGCCAAGACATCGATTGACGTACTTGTAAATGACCAGGTTGTTATTATGAAGTTTAATAATCGTTTACCAATGGCTCAATATGCCAAACAGGAACCTTAAACTCGGGCACGCAGAAAATTAATCTTTTAAGAAACATTTAGTGTTCGTAACAGTCCATACGCATATGTAAATGACTCCTTGCTTGACAGTCCATATAGAATTTCATATTTGTTCAACTGTGAATGTTAATTTCCAGCGTTCAGCATTGTCCATCAACAGTCAGCACGCTGAGCCGTTTCGTTCGATATTTCGACGCTTCTCCTGGTGGTCTCGCTATATCATATCCTTATATCACTCGACATCCGGGTTAAAGATCGTTGCAATCGCTTCAAAATTTTTTTCCCAACGACTGCGCCACAGAGGGTTTCGCCTGTATTAAGTCCTTGTTAAAAGCAGAAAATTGGCGTGGGTTTTGAATTTAAATTACTAATAGCAAAACACGGCGACCATGTGGAGAAAAAAACACGGTGTATCTCAGTGGGTTTCTCCCGTCTTGTGGAGAAAATAAAATAAAAAGCACTTTGAGTCGAACACAAAATTTGTAACAATTTGCGGGGACACCGACGTCTTTTTAACAATGTGAATAGATAATTATCCAGGGAAGGTATGAATTACAAAGCCATTTACAAGAGGCCTTGAACACATCTTAGCAAAATTGGATATAGCGTTTGGGTCACTGGATTGTACCTGATGTTGGAAATATTAATCATCGCGTTTCTGTTGCTGAAAAGATGTGGATATTGAATTTGCTTTTACCTCAAGATCATTAGCTAGAATCAACACATATTTCCTATCTGATATATCCTAGCTGTTCGAGGTTTTTAAGACTATTTATTGACTTTAATGCATTGTCATTGGACGCAGTCAAAAGGAGTCTGATTATAGGTGAAATTCTCCTTTCATACAAAGAAACCTGTCGTTGTCAAGAGGGGCTCCTTGAGTGCGGGAAAACAATAGGGTGACCTGCTATGCATTGTTTGGATGAAAAACAGTGCAGATGTTTTCTTATTAGTCATTATTAATTCACTTTTATGTCCTTCAAGAGCTTTTGTCGGCCTTAATATCAAACGTTTTAAAGTAGCTTAGTACTGACGGCTTTACAATTAGAATCCAATTATTGCTACCGTCACGAACTAACCAGAATTTTTCACGTGTAAATCTCGCGTATATCGCGTTATGCTGCGAAACCTTTTTTTTTTTTTTGGATTTGTTTTTTTTTTTTTTTTTTTGTCGTGGGGGATGACACGTGTTTTTTATTTTGAAGCGTGCGATTTCACGAGAAGTTCCTCATTGTGGTGGAAAATTCCCCTTACAGAGCAAGCGTTTTCGAATCTGGTTTGAATTTCATTTGTCCGACAAAAAAAAAACGACCCAGCGTTTGGAAATTAGTGTGAAAAACTCTCTCGGCTGTAAATAGTTGCCTGGGAGTTCATCGTCTATGGATGGAATCTCTTTAAAATGTTTGTAAATCTTAATGATTACAGCTTCAGTGTTCCACAAAATCCTCGTTCACTGGAACAAATTTTAAGCAAATATTTGGAAAGCTTGAATCGCCAGGCGGGGAATTTACCCTTCTGTTACAGCGCGCTTTTTTCATTCACAAAATCGAGATTCTCTCATTCAGACTCAATACAGAACTAGGCTTGAGACTCGCGTCGATGATTTTAATAATAAAGCTCGTTAGAATTATTTATATATTCGTGTTATGTTTGTGGTGGTTTTCGGGACAAAGAAAAAAAAACAAGAAAAGAGCTTTGTTTAAACTTGACATGTTTATCCTAAATTTTTCATGTTCACTCTCTGGACTCCCTGTTTATATCTGCCATTCCCCACCATTCCAAGTCAATGTTGATACTTTCCAATTTTTAAGCCCATTCCATTGGTATTTTTCTGTATTCTGCACAACAAGTATCCTTTCAAGGTTATTGTTAACATGACAAAAGATTAAATTCATTACTGCGCGGCTTTCAAGGGTTCAGATCACAAGCATATCAAGTAACTAAATACAAAAAGCTTCAAGGCTCGAAAATTATAGTTTAAAACTAAATCTAATGTAGTAGCAGGATTTATTAGATGTGATATCTCATAAATGGTAGCCCTGATACGTGCAAAAATTGTCTTTTTCGCAAATTGACAATTAACAACAATTTACCTAGACGTCTTCGACCCCAACGTAGCACCCCCCCTCCCACCCCCACCTCCCCCTTTTTCACTGGCCCACCACCGCTACCATTGCATACTCTGTTCTCACTGCTGCCTGATACTCAAAGAAATGAGAAAGGGGAGGTGGCTGAAAGAGCATTTTTCCAGCATGTTGCTCCAAGAGCTTTTTTATTCCACAATTTCCCAGAACATTTGTATTCATCTAGGCGGTTGTTAATCAATCCCTCTTCAGCGCGAAACTCGAAACTTAAACACTTAAATGAAGTAATTAATCAAATTCATCCAATTGAAGTACACATTCGCCTTTTAGCACCCTCCTCGCCTCACTTCCAACTCGCCCCTCTCCAACTCCCCCTCGCCCCACTTCCAACTCGCCCCTTTCCACCTGCGGTTTTGTATAATTCTGTGTGACATCTTTACTAACTGGTTCTTTTCCCTGGTGCTTGATGTAGGTTTTTTTTCTCTATGATTTTCCTCAGAAAGCTTAAACTAGCTTTCCAGTTGGTTGGTCAAAGTCATGACCATTACTTCTCCCAAGGGTTCCCTGGTTTTGACGTTACCCGATTATTTGGCGAATGCTTTAAGTAGTTAACGCAAATCTCCTCTTAGCTTTAGCCTAGCTTTTCAGCTTGGTTGTATATTGAACAAAAATATCCCATGTTGCCCTGCGTCTGGTCAGTAACAGGTCACAGATGACGTCAAAATGTGCTAAAAACAGAAAAGGGAAACTGATGTTTTTACCACATTTCGACGTCCTATGTGATTTCTAAGGAACTATAAACAATGAGGAGAGGGTCCAACACAGGTTTGGCCGAAGTACAAAGCTGAGGTACAAAACTAAATGTACAAAGTTCTAAAGTGCACTTGCTCAGCTATTGTTCTGTTCATTTGATTTTTTGTTTGTCCACGGACGGCAATATGGAATCTATCTAAAAAAGCAAAAGGCTATTAATGGTGACGTCTTAAAATAGATCACTAGTGATCGCATCAGAACCAATTGAAATTTGTTTACAATACAGGGTATCATATAATTGGTGGATAATCGCAACGTATTGAACACAAAGTTAGCACACGAGAGCAAAAGCTTTGCCACTGTGATGACAATTTTATTTTTGCTTTCCGGCGCGCGCAATGATTTCTTTAGTATTCATAATTTTTTTGGATAATATGTAATTCTCTGGTTTTCAGCCTCAAGAGTCTTAACTATTGTTATTAGCTATCTGAGTACAACATGTAATAGCAAAATGCATCAAGTCTGTGCGTTCATCACAAGCTGACTTTGCTGTGCTGTAAAATTGAACAAAATTTTCTGAATTTATCAGTGTGAAATAGCTTCCTTTTCTGCGGAAAATTATGGTACAGAATATAATAGACTATGGTATTATGTAATAGGTCATAACTGCCATGTATTATCAAATGGCGTATGTGCACTAGCACGTGGAGTAAATTTGAGTTGGGGAAGTGGAGCAGATTAAAATGGCAGAATATAACGAGATGTCCTATTTGCAATATCGATTGAAGTCGATATCAGTCAATTCCAATTAATTCGCTGATCTCTAAAATAGATGACTTATCTATCTGGGATATTTTTGTAACTTTGTAGGCATGATCGAGATCAATTGACTGTTTTTCGTTATCACGATTTTCTTGTCAGATCAATGATTTTGTTTTCTTTTTATCCAAGAAGTCAGCAACTTTTGTGAAATAATGTTAAGTACTTTTTGCGTCAATTAATACTCGGCCCGCTTTCATAGGGTGTAAGATATCGTTTCCAGTCAATATTAATCGATTATTGGTTATGCATTGGCCCGCATCAGTCGATAACCTTTGATATCCGATGCTCGATTTCACTGATTAAGAAGCCTTTTTGCGTTTTGTCTCGTTAATACAGAATTACTCACTGAATCTACCGTTGAAAGAAAATTAAAAGATTGTGGTTCTATTCAACCATTCCACTCTCCCCTTCAACACTACCGACCTAAACATAACTGAAGCGCAATGATGGACCTTGACACAGATGACCAGCGGTTATGTAGCAAAATATTATCTCGAATTCATAAACATCGATTATAGCTAAAAACTTAACTATAGTATGGCTAACGTTTCGAGTACACGTTATAGCTGTTTTCGCTCTCTCTAATATGAAATTAAAGAATTTCTTTCTGAAAAATAGTAGAAATTCTAACTAATAATACCTCTGAATTGATACATAGACTAGAGAAGATGGGGGCTGAGGGTTTTTTTTTTTGTTTTTTGTTTTTCACAATAACGCACTTTTCGATTGGGTGTGGTTCTAATCGCAACGCCCAATCACAGCAAAGAAAAGTATTTCGTCTGATTAATTGAGAGGGCGAAGCTACTTCATTGCATTCTGAAGTACTCTATCAATCAAGTTGTTACGCATCGAAATAATTTGAAGAAATAATTGGTCCACTTTAAATTGATTTCTTGGCGGTCTAAAGTTTGGCTCTGAACCTCGCAATGCGAATGTCACTGAATGGTGCAACAAGATCGAATCGTGAAATGGGCTAATTTTCGTTGAGAAAAAGCATTATTGAGACTGAAAGGGATTTGAAAACATCATGCCTAATGATTTAATGTCCAATGTTATTTCCCATGAGGTTCGAGTTATCTCCATTCGTTTCACCTTTAAAGATCTCCCTTAGTGAACAGCGCTTTTCCTCCAAACAGGTTGCGCACTCCACATTTGTCTTTTCACCAGGCCTCCGCTTCCTTCTTGCTGTCACAGATTCCAACGTGCATGGTACTTGTTTTTCTTGCAGGATTGGAATCGGCAACGCAAGTAAAACTACTCCAGAAACACAGCAAATGGAACCAACTATCTTACCAAGAATCGATGACGGCACGACGTCCCCGTAACTACACGGTGATAAACATAATACAACATATATATTAGAACGATTGAATCACTCGATTGATTACGACACAGAGCAATTTCTAGCTAACGAGAAACATATTTACGTTGCAGCTACGTTAAGTATATACAGTTGATACGAATAAAAAAGCGATCCTCGCAGTTATGAACACTACTAAACTAGTAGTTGAAATAAGGCCTGAAAAAAAATTCAGGCCCGTACCGGATTTAAACTCATAACCTCTGCGACACCGGTGAGCGTTCTACCAACTGAGCTAATAAGCCAACTGAGAGCTGGTCATTATGTTGGATCCAAATAAACAGTCGATCTTAACCAATGAAAATTAGTTATCGTGGTAACCTGAGTATTGAATTCTGCGTATGATTTTTGCGTGTGAAAATTAGTTATCGCAGTCATTAAAGCATTGATTTCTACGTGTTTGAGCGGTATTTATGTAGAATGAAAATGCATATGATTTAAGATTAGTTCGAAGGTTCCCTCAGGATATTTGCACTGAAACAAATTCGACGCTCTAATGAGAATTAGATATCCAGCAATCTAACTCTAGATCTTCACTGTGTTTTACTCTCAATTTAGTTTTTTCAGTTTTTAATTTCTTTTCCTAGAGTCGCCGATTAATCTTTCCCTTTTTTGCCTTTGTGAGATCGTTTCGTTTTCCTGTTCATCCCTTTCACCTCTTTGCCTGTAATGATGTAATTCTTCATTTTGCGACGAAGTTAGCTACTGGCCCTACGGACTGTTTTCACACAACGCTAGAATTCAAGAGTCAGTGTGGAGTCCATTTAACCCTGGAGCTAAATTAGCCATTGAGCCGGCTGAAAGCTGGCAATACAAAGTATCTTTTTAAGTCGGTTGACGGTGAAAATTAAAGGCATTGTCTTTTCTCGCTTGAGTCCTTGAAATTGTCAGCAAATACCGCAAGGTTTTAGTTCTTATACAAAGAGCTTTTAATACAAATAATACTTTGCCTAGCAGCTGGAGACACTCAATTGCAATTTTGAAAATATCGTTCTCAGCAAGGCTTATTTTATTGTAAAGTTCAATAAACCTCGAGAAGTGCTATGGATTTTAGGGCGATTTGCGTACACAAAAGACACTTAATACTAATTGAAATCTCTAGCTTCGAGTATATTCATAGTTATTGACAAACTTTCCCTTCATTTTTTACCGTAAGAAAATTAAAAAGTTGAGTGTTAGATCAATTTTGTATCGCTTTCATGTTATTCTGGAATAAGCGGACCAAAAAACCACAAATTGGTTTTTCAATTTACGTACCCACGCATAATTAATCGAAACGGCAAGAAACCGCCCAAATACCTTACTTCTAGGTGTGATTTTTTTCAAGATCGAGAGAAAGCTAAATGCGATCGATGGATCTCTTTAAATTGTCACAGCTTTGGTCCCAATACTTGAGGATCCAAATTTAAAAACCGTTCATGGTTTGCGTCAATTTTTGTTCAGAATTGTAAGGTAGAAAAATTTTGAAATTTTGATTTAACGAGAGTGAGAGTAATCCTCTGGTGATAATAAAAGCTCTTTACAGTAATAAGAATAACTAACACAAATTTTACATTTAAACATAAATTGCGATACTTCGATCGCAAAAAAATTATATATACAAATGATCCTTACCCCACAGTCATGAGAGTGACACAGATGTACCAAAATGATTCTGGAATACTTGAAAACTGCGGATCCCCCTCCGCGAGTTCTAAATAATAAATCGCTGTTCCAAATAAGATTATCGCCAAGAAACAGATGCAGTAGAGGAAGACGATGTCGACAGCACATCGCCGTAAAGTCAACAAAAGGCACCGAAGTCTTCGAGAGTTCCGGGTGAGTTTCAGAATACGAATCACTCTTAACACCTTAAGTATCTGCAGAAAACTTGTCTCCCCACCAAAACTTTCCACTACCAGAGTTAAATAGTAAGGAACTATTGCTAATAAATCGATTACGTTCATTGCGTCTAACATAAATTTCTTCTTTTGCGGACAAACGTAGAACCTAATCAAGAGCTCAGCTGTGAAAATGATGACACATATTGACTCAATGGTGAAGAATATTTGGTGGTGTTCCTCTCCGCACGTCGATGTTTCCCCGCAACGCAGTGTCTCCAATGAAGCTATTAAAACACTTACAAATATGAAAAACCCGTAAATTATGTGGAATATCACTCCAGTATTAGTCGTCTTCGAAGGGCCTATGGTTCGCCAAATCTTCTGCTTAAGAGTGAGTTTTGGTTCGCAATGTAAGTCGCATAAATTGCCGTTGCAATTTAAATATTCTCCCTTAAGTTCGTCATTGTCGCCTTCGACGAGAACACCTTTCTCTTTTGGACTGCAATGATCCCAGCAGCAATTGTTTACATCGTAAATTGAAAACCCGTAAAATTGCAATTCCTCCTCGAAAGCCGCGGGACAGTCTTCTTGCGAGCAATGAAGCTTGCCATAACGGTAGTAATTCAGTACAAACTTGAACAGATATGGGTCTCGATCAAGAAAATACTCCTTCCGTCGCGCGTCGTAGAATTGCTGCATCGTATCGATGCTTCCTAACAGAGAGTCAGGAAAGCGCAACAGTGTACTTTGCCACGTTTGGAACTTAATTCCACTCACGTTGATCGTCAAACGCCTGTCGTTGGTAGAAGCAAATGACCCTTTCACCCGCCAGTCGTTTGTAGACCCAATAGAAGTTCTGGGATAATCGGAAATTGATTTTCGCTGGTTTTTGTTATTGTTAGAGATACGATGTTTCTTAAATAATGCACCCGAAACGCTTGTGTGAAACATTGATGGATTTCCACACCAAGATCATCAACGTTTGTCTTAGTTAAAGCCACTTTAAAATCATGTCGTAGTTACTTCCAGCGTCGGAGTTCTTCTTGAAATGCACTGTTTGTTTTTTTTTTTCAAGAGCAGTGTTATGACCTGTTCAGTTGGATCACAGTTTTGAACGTGCTGTTTACGAGACCGAGTCCTCTTCAAACAAGCTTCTCTGTGATCTTTGAGATAAAAGGCGGCCACGTGTTCGATTACAAAAACGATTGATTCGAAAACAGTACAACAAAAACTTTAAAATTACCATATGTTTAGCTTCGAACAGAAAGACGTCTCCTTTCTTTTTTGACAGAGTATTTCATTGGTTCTGCTAATCGCCAACTTGGCTTTTACGCCCTCCTAATAAGCTCGCCGCAGTGGACCTGCAGATAAGAGATTGAGCAAAACATTGTATTCGAGTGAGTAGAATTGAATTTTGATGATAACTTGTTATCATGCTAAAATGTGTGTCAGGCAATTTTCTAAAAACACAGCGATAAAACCACTAATTATGAACGGGGCATTGAATGTCTTAAATTTATGAATTGTTTTCTCTATGTACGCTGTTATGTTATTTCTGTTTTTCAAAATAATACCAATGTCTCTTGACATAATAGAAAGATAAATACATAACAAAGAAAAAAAAGCGACTTGTTTGATCTCTTTTAAATTTTTTTCCACATGCGACACAGTCTGCAGAGACTTGACAGAAAGCTGAATTTATCCATGACAGATTTCTTTTTCAATTCAATTTCAACAAAACGTTCTCCATAATATAGATCACAAAGAGCATTTTGTCATAATTCATGTTATGTTTCAAAAACGCTTTTAACTTTAAGGGTTGTGCTAATGTAGTGCGGTTTTGTCACCTCTTAAGTGAAATTAAGGTGCTCGTCGTTGTGGCAATAAAAGCACTAAACAAAGTTTACGATACTCCGGACTTATTTGCATACGACGGTCTAATCGCCTGCCGATGCTAGCAGTTACAAAAGAAACTCCAGGAGTTTTTGGTCGTTTCCGATTCCGTTGAGAATTTCCAGCGTGAGCGACTCATTTTAAATTAAAATTTCATTAGCAAAGCCATAAAAACAATACGTTTTCAGAAGGTGCAATATATGTACTTGGCATGAATATGAATAAACATGATAAAATATAAAAAATTTTTAGAGTTTTTTTTTCTGTGTCGTTTACAAAACATCAAGAACGAAAGAAAAGAGAGTGAGTTAATTTGCCTTTGAGCACACTAGGAAAGTTACGGTCGAAATGCAAAGCAAATTTTTACATTCATGTTTCGCTTCGTTTTATTTTGAAATCAAACAATATGTTTCTGCAATGAAGCTCTTTACTTATAGCTCTGTGGACGCCATTACACATCTATCAAACAATTAATTGATCAAAAAAATATGGTGGATTTTCGGATAACAGTACTCGGCGAAGACTATTGAGAAGAACCCATTCAATATGTGAGATTGCTAAAACTGTAGGAACAAAACTCCAAACTGAACTTGATGAATTTATTTTCTCTTCCTTTCTTCCGTTGTAACGTCTTTTTTAATTATATATTTTTTTATTTCTGGTGAATTTTCACCCCTCTAACTCTCAGAAGAAGGGATTTTTTTGAAGATTGCCGATTAAACGAAAAAAGTCGTTGTAATAGTGAAACACTTGGTGCGATGACATCTTCAACTCGAAGCAAATCTGAAATTAAATCCCTCAATTTCAATAACTTGGCCCCATGTATACTTTCAATTAACTAGGCGGGATCTTAATGAAGCAAATAAAATTACGTTTGTGGTACACTACATGACCTGACTTACTCAGCTCGATGGATTTTCTCTTCCTCACTCGTCACCTCGATTAAAGTTCTGACGGAAAAACACACTGAACAATGGCCGAGGCACCCTGTCAAAAACTGTTTTTCAGCTTTTATTTTAAATAATTTTTTTCACTTGTATCGAATTAAAGCATCTCCAATTCCGGTTTTCCTTCGAAGGGTGTCCGCCATTTCCGCCGTTTTAATTATATTTCGCTGTCGCTTCTCTTAGATATGCCGCAAATAAATATAGTTGGAAAAAAGGAAAACATATTTAATTCCGAAAAGGTGACAAACTTTTCACCTCTTCGGTGAGATATAATTAATTTTACATGAATAAAATCAAGAAATATTGGATAAAATGGAAAAAAGTACAACAAATGTCATGCTAAGTAGGTCGATCAGGGCCTCAATTTTGTTTTCAAACTTTGATATCAGTAGCGGCCGTTCTTAAAGCCGTGTCCTGTTTTGTTTTTGTAATCTGTCTCTTGGTGCCTTGGTAAATGTTTTTGTTGGCGATTTAGGGGTCAAAAAGAACACGGAATTAGTTAGGAATTATGAAAGTTGCAGATCAAGGATATAAATTATGTTTTTTGACCGAACTTTGCGTGTTGTCCAACCATATTGCAAGATTATATCGCCAGCACAACATTTCCCAACATGTAAATCGTTGCCTTATGACATAACACTGAGCCTCACAGCTAAGGACTGCTTATTTGTTTCTCGGCTTATTTTTGGTTATTTGCTTCCGATTCATTTGCTCTTCTCTTGATTTGAGGGATGTTTAACGTTGAATGTCAGTTTAAACAGTTACACAATTCAAATATTTAAACACTCAGGCTGCAAATGTTCGATCTTTAAGACCCTTTACGCGATGAAGGAGCTAAATCGCGCTGATTTGAGGCGTCCAGTCTTACTACGACAAGAAATATTACCTTCAAAGGAAGAGGAACTACAAAGTGTTAGATTGAGAAGAAAGAACAAAACAAATAAGAATTAGTGAATCAAGAAAGAACGCAGATGGCTTTGCGTTAAGAATCGCAATGATTTGAGCCGTCAAGACTAACTGCAACAGGAAAATTCCATGCACCTTCAAAGGGAGAAGAACAACCGAGTTCGATTGGGAAGGTAGAATGCGACAAAATGGTACGAATAAATCGAGAAAGAACGAGGATGGCTACGAATGGAGAAAACTAGCTTGGATTGCCAAAAGATAACCTAAAAAATCTAGCCAAACATGTTCAAGAAAACAAACTGTGTCCTAACTCTGTTGATATCAAGGGCCAAGCTTAAAGTGGCCTTTCTCACGAGTTTTTCCAACAATTTTGAAAAAGGTGGAATACGCTTCCACCGCAGTTCATCGCTGCAATGTTGCAACCTTCTAAAAGATATTTTACGGACAAATTTGAAAATCAGGTTTTACCAGACACAAGAAGTTTTCCTCCACATGACACAAAGCTAGGCACAGTCTCAGTTTTTCCTCTGAAGGTCACCTTTTTTTCACATTTTGCCTTAGCCAGAGATAAAAAGTCATTTAGTTTAAAAAGTCTCGGCAGCTGCCTTGATAAGCGTTATAGCACACCATGGTTTTTTAAATACAGATGAGATAAAAATTGCAACTCCGTTATTACAGACACCACAAAAAGTCAACAATTATCACGCCACACGATTTTTGAAAATCATTAGCGAAATAACCAATCAAAAAGCCAAAACAAATCTTCTGAAGTAATACCACGCATGCTCAAACAATTTGGCATATCGGTATATGATGTTCACAGTAGGATTTCTTCACCTTGACTGTGACGGTTGCACGGTCGCCACAACTATGAGGTAGGATACGCGCTAAAAGTTTTCAACAAATTGGCAGAGTTATTATTAACTGAAGGACCTGTTTTGTTGCGTTGGCGGATAATCGAGGAACTGACCTGATTATCAACAGGAAGGATATGTAAACTACTTCATAATGCCATCATCATGCTATTTTATTATATTAGGGCAACAGGAAACGCAAAATGTTATGGCGTTATACGGTATAACAAGGCAAAAAGTACGGACGGAAAAAAAACCGATAACATGACCTCACTGAACGATTTAAACGTTGATTTGTTCAAGTTTTCCTTTGGGCTTTTCTGCGATGGACGTTTGAGTAAAACAGATTCCTTGTTTGTCACAAAGGACATTTTTCGCTTGTGTTGGTTCCTCCTTCGCGTACGCCTTCTGCAATTGATATGATTCTCCAAGAATGCCGTGGGATTGTATATTTCAGAAACCATAACCCGAAAAGGTAAAAGTAGAATCAAAATGGCATAATGAATCCCATTTTGCATGGCTCAACTTATGTTATAATAAAGTTCGGATATAACGCGCGCTGTCATTGGTTGAAACAGCGTGCTCTATCTGAGTATAGAACATAGGGCAAGACAGCTAAAGCCGTCACCCTAACTGCCTAATTGTGCTGTGATCGACTATTTCCCAGACCTCTCTCTAGCTTTTTTTCATTAATTAAAAGTGAAACACTCGGCCGACACTCGTGTAGTATATATAGTTTCGTGTTAACAAACAAAACAGAACAATCTTGATGACTACGTCTCGTGTTTCTCCCTACACTTCTTTCGTGCTCGAACCGCTTCCTGTGTGCTTTACAACAGAACAGAGCACAGCCAAGGCTTCTCTATTTGTTAAATAAAAGTGGAGATTTTGCACATTGCTCGTATTTTAAGTTAAACCATCGAGCAAGATGGACGTAACGACTTTTATGAAGATAGGGCAGTTTTTCTAGCTCTGTTAAGTTGAGATCAATCGACCAGTTCTACTCAGCGAAGCTCTCTTCAAACAATATTGTGGAATATAAATCAGAATCTTGACCTTAATTTAACTTTTCCCGTTCTGACTGAGAACTTCCCGTACCGCTAGTAATTAGAATATGCAACAGTTGACCACATCAATAAACTAGCGGCATACTTTGATGTTTTGATCTTGGCTATAAATGAGGAGAAGACACAGCAATTGTTTAAAAAATGAGATTGATTAATCTATCATATACCGCGTTTGACTGAAAACGTCTTCCTTTCATAATTCCAGAAGATAATTACGGCATAGCCTGTACAAACTGATCACGTCATAACGAGAAAAAAAGAATCAGTTGACATCCCACAGAGAA